TATTTCTCTATTTTCTAGACATCCTGACTTGTTATGCTCGCAGAGACAAAGAACTGTAACAAATTGTAAACATCACAGCGAGATATATGTCACATCCTCAGAATATGCCGACCCAGTCAGCTGGAGTTATTGGTGCTTATGGGTAGTGTATTTCATAAGAAGGTGTTGTGCTTTACAGTTGTGCAATCAGAAAACAGCACTTCCCAAAGTACCTCTGTCCTCCGCGTGGCTGGCCTTTGTTTGCAAACAAAACTTCCCTGATGTAGAATTTTTTTTCTCAGAAAATCAGGAACCTTTTTTGTCAACAACAAGAATGTAATAAAGTGCAGGATATGGCCTGATAGTGCTATAGGTCTAATTTATACTCATTGGGTCACTTATGATCATGAGTTGAGAGACCAGAATAGTATAAATCAGACATACTTTAGTAACTTTCCTTATTGCTGAATGCTGACAATGAGTTTACAATATAAATTGGATGGAAAACAAACAACCATTTACATGATTTACAAGCACACTCTGGTCAATGACATATAGTTGTGTTGTATTCTACTGTCCTGATTTTTTTGTAATTTTAAAGATACATAAACAGTCAAGATCCTTATAACGCTCAGCCATGTGGTAAACAAAGGGTATGCTTTGTAACCCGATATGGGGCACGTGGATAGAACGGTTCAAAACATGCTGCTGCAGCAGATCATCTCTACAGTAGGGGACAGGGGGAGGGGTTAAAGGAATCATGTCATAATTTCATAACAATGTTGCACAATCCTACTTAGCCAAGGAAAGTTATCTTTAGAGAGCTACTTCCTCACTTTTGGTCTCTGACCCATTTTCAACGTTTTTTCCCAACTCGTCAATGCCTTGTGTCAACATCAGTTTTGAAACACCATTACCCTCTAGTGGATATTCAATGCATATACATTGTGGCATTGTGATCAAGAACAGAAAATAAAGCAATTTCTTGACCAAATTATTTTCGAAAAACGTATTGCCTTTAGTTTACATTGACATGACAGTTGATAGATAAGTAGGTTGTTACATAATATATTGTGGACAGACTAGGTAAATAATAAGGTATCTGACCAAATTACCAAGATTTTAGTTCTGGGTTAAACGAGATTAGTAGTTTGATAACATTTCTCCACTTCCTGTGGTACTGTTCCTTTAACATCCAGCAACAGATGTGGATTCCAGATGTTGTTGACTCCCTATCTGGTCTCTTTGAGGACTACAACATCTATCTACTCATGACTAATGCCATAGTTGACCATCTGCCAAAATCAGTTTAATATCGAATTATTAGTGTGCATGTAAACATACTCACTGTTAACTAACCATTCAGAAAATGACAGAGTCAGAGAAAGCAGCTTGGTCAATTAATGTCAAAAGTGTTTATGTCACAGACTCGTGGGACACAGTTCTTCTTGGCATGGGGGATTTGAGCTATCATTACTTCCCGAAGGACAAAGTAGAGGAGACCGGGGTTGGTTGTCTCACGGGTTGGTTGTCCCAGTGATTATTACTCCAAATCCAGAGGGAGGCTGTGTCATAATTTCAAGATTAAAATGGTTGTCCTCTATAGGAGAGGTCATCCATGTGGTCAATTCAGGTCAGGGTCACAAAACATTGAGGTGAGAGGAATATTATAACTTTTCATGGGTGAAAGTAAATATTCATAGCTTGTTATTTCTTTAATAAATAGTTGTATGATGGGAGTATTCATTAACACATAATTTTATTGAAAACAGGAAAGGGAGAGCTTTATTTCAAGCCTATTTGTGAGTTTCTTATAGGTCAAGCCATGTGGTAACTAGCATCTTAATTAGCATTGGGGGGATGGTTGGGGATGGTGTTTGCATTGATGTTGGGGTTGCTTCTCATAATCTGACAACCATCCCCATTGTAACAATGTACCAGTAAACTAAATGACGTTGAAAAGACGCCTAGAAAACGTATTTTCCAGATGTTGAAAAGACGTCTATGTTTCACAAGTTTGGACAGCACAGCACAGCACAGTAGAGTTTAATTCAGCAGAGTATTTACATTTACGTCATTTAGCAGACGCTCTTATCCAGAGCGACTTACAGTTAGTGAATGCATACATTATATTTTTATTTTTTTCATACTGGCCCCTCGTGGGAAACGAACCCACATCCCTACCGGCCAAACCCTCCCCTACCTTGGACGACGCTGGACCAATTGTGCGCCGGCCATGGGTCTCCCGGTCGCGGCCGGCTGCGACAGAGCCTGGACTCGAACCAGGATCTCTAGTGGCACAGCGCCACTCGGGAGAGAGCCTTAACACTGTAATTCAGTAGAGTACAGTACAGTAGAGTACAGTACAGTGTAATTCAGTACAGTAGAGTTCAGTACAGTGTAATTCAGTAGAGTACAGTAGAATTCAGTACAGTACAGTGTAATTCAGTAGAGTACATTTTACATTTTACATTTTAGTCATTTAGCAGACGCTCTTATCCAGAGCGACTTACAGTTAGTGAGTGCATACATTTTTCATACTGGGCCCCCGTGGGAATCGAACCCACAACCCTGGCGTTGCAAACGCCATGCTCTACCAACTGAGCTACACGGGGAGTACAGTACAGTAGAGGTCAGTACAGTACAGTGTAATTCAGTAGAGTACAGTACAGTAGAGCAAATTAATAATAATAACACATTTAATTTGTATAACGCTTTTCAGTACAGCAAGAATCTCAAAGACGCTCTTATAAACAAAACAAAACATTTCAGTTAGCCTATTGACAGTTCTGGCTGGAAGATCTTCCACGGCCATCCACTACAGTACAGAACAGTTGAATTCAATAGAGTACAGTACAGTACATTAGAGTACAGTACAGTACAGTTGAGTTTAATTCAGCAGAGTAGAGTACAATACATTAGAGTACAGTACAGTACAGTTGAGTTTAATTACATAGACGAAAGTTTAGTACATTAGAGTACAGTACAGTACAGTTGCGTTTAATTCCGTAGAGTAGAGTAGAGTACATTAGAGTACAGTACAGTACAGTTGCGTTTAATTCCGTAGAGTACAGTACATTAGAGTACAGTACAGTCACGTTTAATTCTGTCGAATACAGTAGAATATAATACTGAAAGTACTCTACTTCTACTGTACTGAATTGAACTATACTTTACTTTTAGTTTATTTACTGTATTGTACTGTACTGAATACACTCTACTTTTCTTTTCTTTACTGTACTGTACTCTACAGTATACTGTGCTCTACTGTAACTTACTCTGCTGAATTGAACTCTACTGTACTGTACTCTGCTATACTGTACTCTACTATATACTGTACTGTACTCTGCTTAATTGAACTCTACTGTACTGAACTCTATTATACTGTACTCTACTATATACTGTACTGTACTCTGCTTAATTAAACTCTACTGTACTGTACTCTGCTGTACTGTACTCTACTGTATACTGTGCTGTACTGTATCGAATACACTCTACTTTTCTGTACTGTACTCTGTTGTGCTTTCCAAACTTGTGAAACTTTGACATCTATGATCATTTCAGACGCACACACACACCTGTTCCTGTTTGAAAAATTATTTTTTCAACAAAAAATTTAGTTAACACAAATGTTTACAGCTTTACTTTTTTTAACTTTAAAAAATATGTAATTTTCATCCAAATATCAGATGGTTACTGTTTGTTTTATTAAGCATTGATATGACGATTTGAGTGGAGTAAGAACTACAATGTCGAAGCAAATATTCAACTATGTAGAATTTATTTATACTTATTTATTTTTATTATGTTAGATGGAAATATTGTTCAATAAAGAAAGCCTTTACTTTTTTTCAAATGAAGGTTTTACTTTTTTGTAAATTGGTTCAATTGTTGCTGAAAAACAAAAGGCAAACATTGTGACAACTATGTAGAATTTATTTATACTTATTTATTTATACTTACATACAACCAACCCCATACTGTCCTGACAACCAACCCCATACTGTCATGACAACCAACCCCATACTGTCCTGACAACCAACCCCATACTGTGTGACAACCAACCCCATACTGTCCTGACAACCAACCCCATAATGTCATGACAACCAACCCCATACTGTCCTGACAACCAACCCCATACTGTCCTGATAACCAACCCCATACTGTGTGACAACCAAACCCATACTGTCCTGACAGCCAACCCCATACTGTCCTGACAACCAACCCCATACTGTGTGACAACCAACCCCATACTGTCCTGACAACCAACCCCATACTGTGTGACAACCAACCCATACTGTCCTGACAACCAACCCCATACTATGTGACAATCAACCCCATAATGTGTGACAATCAACCAACCCCATACTGTCCTGACAACCAACCCCATACTGTCCTGACAACCAACCCCATACTGTCCTGACAACCAACCCCATTCTGTGTGACAACCAACCCCATACTGTCCTGACAACCAACCCTATACTGTCCTGACAGGCAACCCCATACTGTCCTGACAACCAACCCCATACTGTCCTGACAGCCAACCCCATACTGTCCTGACAACCAACCCCATACTGTCCTGACAGCCAACCCCATACTGTCCTGACAACCAACCCCATACTGTCCTGACAGCCAACCCCATACTGTCCTGACAACCAACCCCATACTGTCCTGACAGCCAACCCCAAACTGTCCTGACAACCAACCCTATACTGTCCTGACAGGCAACCCTGGGAAGGGACTGGTTGTCAAGAGGACAGAGTGTGTTTAATGGCTTATAACTCCATGTTTGAATAAGATATGAGGATAAAATGGTCCCCATTTCAACTCAAGACCTTGGTATTTCTCCTAATATTGAAAAGAGTCTTGTAAGATATACTGATGCTGAGAAATACACACCAGAGTGAAAAGTGTGACAAGCAACCCATCTCCCCAATTCTTCTTCTGTGCTAATATTCTTATATGTACAGGAAAATATTTTATTGTATTATCTTTCTCCCGTAGCCCCCTTCATCCAAAGCTCACATGACAGGCGAGATGGCGGTGGGCCGCTTCAGCCCATAAAAGGCCAACAGGGCCTCACACAGGTCTCTGTACCTGAAGCCGTAAAGGTAGGGAGCCAGGGCCTTGGGGAGCACCAGGAGGATGTTACACACCACCAGGGACACCCACAGGTTGGCACGCAGGTCCAGGGCATCAAGGTGGCAGTAGAGCAGTAGCTTGATGAGAAGCACCAACATGGGCAGGAAGGACAGGAAGAGGTGGAGGTAGTGGATGAGGAATGTGCCTTTGGCCCGGGAGGAGCGTTCTCCTCTCCACACGCCAGACATGCGGGTGCGATAGTACAGAACGACATAGCCAGAGAAGACCAGGAGCAGGATGAGGAGGATGCCTGTTACTGTCAGCAGCATGGACACCTGAGAATGACAATGTAATGTACTGAAAAAGAATCCAATAGTGTGCAAAAACAGATATTGGTTTCACTTTACAATACATAAAGTAGATATTATACCAAAGTAATAAAATTGTAATATACATAAACCTTCTCACTCTAGAATGTAATTATTGTTTAGGTTTACATCAGGTGTTAAAACGGCCAGCTGCAGTCAGCTGATTCTAGCCATCCCTTGATTAGTTCTAGTCAGGCAGCTTAGTCTCCCATTCAAAGGACCCCCACTTTTGTTATTGTCTTATTGGTTAATGTCACGACAAATAATTATCACCACATCTCGTTCAGCCTATCAGTGGCCTTGATTCCCGGGGCTTCGGTTTCAGTTAGTCTATGACCCAGCACGCTGTGTGGCCAGAAACGTGCTTTCCCAATCCTGATGATAATTTCCACAGTTTGCCCTCCTGGTGAACTTTTCCTCCTGTGGACTGAATCCCTGTATGTCTGATGTTTAATTGAGCGTGCATCTAAACGTAAATGCCTTGAGACCTGTGTCATATTATGTGGAGCTAAGTTTTGTGGTCTATAATTACCGTGTGTTGAGCTTGTTAGCTAGCTCGCGCTCCTGATAGCGTTAGCACTACCGTTAGCATTTTGCGTTGGAATGCATGAGCATTTTAGCATGACTGTTAGCGATTAGCCGTTTATTAGCATTTCTCATTTATGGTGCCAGGCTATTTTCTATTCAATATATCACTCATGCTCATTGTATTTATATTATGTATACATTTCAACATTACTGTAATGTTTATTTGAGCACATTTGCCTGAGTTTCATGTGTACAGCCGTGGTCAAAAGTTTTGAGAATGACACAAGTATTGATCTTCACAAAGTTTGCTGCTTCAGTGTTTAGATATTTTTGTCAGATGTTACTATGGTATACTAAAGTATAATTACAAGCATTCCATAAGTGTCAAAGGCATTATTGATAATTCCATTAAGTTTATGCAACGAGTCAATATTTGCGGTGTTTAACCTTATTTTTCAAGACCTCTGCAATCCGACCTGGCATGCTGTCAATTAACTTCTGGGCCACATCCTGACTGATGGCAGCCCATTCTTGCATAATCAATGCTTGGAGTTTTTCATAATTTGTGGGTTTTTGTTTGTCCACCCGCCTCTTGAGGATTGACCACAAGTTCTCAATGGGATTAAGGTCTGGGGAGTTTCCTGGCCATGGACCAACAATTTCGATGTTTTGTTCCCCGAGCCACTTAGTTATCACTTTTGCATTATGGCAAGTTGCTCCATCATGCTGGAAAAGGCATTGTTCGTCACCAAACTGTTCTTGGATGGTTGGGAGAAGTTGCTCTCTGAGGATGTGTTGGTACCATTCTTTATTCATGGCTGTGTTCTTAGGAAAAATTGTGAGTGAGCCCACTCCCTTGGCTGAGAAGCAACCCCACACATGAATGGTCTCAGGATGCTTTACTGTTGTTATGACACAGGACTGATGGTAGTGCTCACCTTGTCTTCTCCGGACAAGCTTTTTCCCGGATGCCCCAAACAATCGGAAAGGGGATTCATCAGAGAAAACTATTTTATCCCAGTCCTTAGCAGTCCAATCCCTGTAACTTTTGCAGAATATCAGTCTGTCTCTGAAGTTTTTCCTGGAGAGAAGTGGCTTCCTCGCTGCCCTTCTTGACACCAGGCCATCCTCCAAAAGTCTTCGCCTCACTGTGCGTGCAGATGCACTCACACCTGCCTGCTGCCATTCCTGAGCAAGCTCTGCACTGGTGGTGCCCCGATCCCGCAGCTGAATCAACTTTAGGAGACGGTCCTGGCGCTTGCTGGACTTTCTTGGGCGCCCTGAAGCCTTCTTCACAACAATTTAACCTCTCTCCTTGAAGTTCTTGATGATCCGATAAATGGTTGATTTAGGTGCAATCTTACTAGCAGCAATATCCATGCCTGTGAAGCCCTTTTTGTGCAAAGCAATGATGACAGCACGTGTTTCCTTGCAGGTAACCATGGTTAACAGAGGAAGAACAATGATTTCAAGCACCACCCTCCTTTTAAAGCGTCCAGTCTGTTATTCTAACTCAATCAGCATGACAGAGTGATCTCCAGCCTTGTCCTCGTCAACACTCTCACCTGTGTTAACGAGAGAATCACTGACATGATGTCAGCTGGTCCTTTTGTGGCAGGGCTGAAATGTAGTGGAAATGTCTTTTGGGGATTAAGTTCATTTTCATGGCAAAGAGGGACTTTGCAATTAATTGCAATTCATCTGATCACTCTTCATAACATTCTGGAGTATATGCAAATTGCCATCATAAAAACTGAGGCAGCAGACTTTGTGAAAATTAATATTTGTGTCATTCTCAAAACTTTTGACCACAACTGTACAAGTCTAATAGGTTGTGTAGTCTATTGCCATGTGACTAGGCCTTATGCCTGCTGTAGTGTATAGCCCTTGCTGTTATATACTTACCTGTGCTAGCTTATACAGCCATGGCATTCATATTATAGCAGTGCTATTGTCTACATTTTCTTTCTCCGTTTTCCTTTCAGAACCACATATGTTATCTGAACCATGAGTGGTCAGATTTGTGTGGATGTGAACATCTTATTCCATTAAACTCCCCTTAACCTGAACACCCGCCTCATCCTTGTTCTGACTGGACATTCTGTAGTGATTGCTACCGGCCTTAAGGTTTCTTATTACATTCATGGTCCTTCGATTCTCTACAACACTCCACTCTCTTTTACATCAGGGGTAGGCAACCCTGTTCCTGGGATGCCGCAGGTACTGCAGGATTTTGTTCCAACTAGGCACCACACCAGACCAACTGAGCTAATTGATCGGTTCAGTGATTGCCTAAATTCAACACACCTGGTCTTCCAGGTCAGTTAAATCAAAAACATGAAGCACTCCAGGACCAGGGTTGCCTACCCCTGGTTTACACAGTAATCTCCACTGCGATTGCTTTGTTGATTGATTGCTTGATTGATTGACTGAGAGCCACCTGCATGGGAGTGGACTGGCTGACGGTGAGGACCAGGAAGAGGGGCAGGGAGCAGATGTGCAGGGAGCAGGGTCCAGTAGAGTGGTACCACACCAACACCCCTACAGACGCTGCTGGTAAGAACACAGATACAGCCCAGATACCAGCGATCGCCCTCCTCGTCCTACAGAGAGGAGAGGAGAGACAGATATGAGAGAGAGGCAGGGAGAGGGAGAGAGAGGAAAGATGGAAGATAAATAACGGTTTCTCTAAACTCCATCCATTATTACATCATACAGTGAAGTCATAAGAAGTACTGACAAAACTCTCCCAGCCCGTGTTCCCATTACCTGGAGATGGGCCACAGGGCGTAGTATCGAAGTGGAGCCATCACGGCCAGTGATGTGTCCAGCACCATGGCCTTGGTACTGAGGATCCCAGCGCAGTACAGCACCCCCAGCAGGAAGAGGATGGTAGCGCACGCCCACTCTGACATCAGCACGCCCGTCGCGTTCAGACAGGCGCTCACCATGTACAGCGACATGAACAGCATGTCGCTTAGCAATGCATTGGCCAGGAGGAGATAGCGGGTCTCCTGGCGCATCCAGGGGCTAGGAGGAGAAGGAGGACAATGATGATGATGATGATGATGATGAATGCTACATATGCCTAACTCCAAATCAACCTTACCCTAACCCAGGGGTTTCAAATCCATGGTGTCTGCAGGTTTTTGGTTTTTCTTTTCAATTAAGACCTTGACAACCACGTGAGGGGAGTTCCTTTACTAATTAGTGACCTTAATTCATCAATCAAGTACAAGGGAGGAGTGAAAACCTGCAGACACTCAGCCCTCCGTGGAATGAGTTGGACACGTGCCCTAAGCCTTCTGCGCTTAAGTAGATCTGAAAGCATTGTATAAAGCAGTAGCCTTACCAGTCTGCTGACTAGCTAGGTGAAACTGCTCACACCTGTCCATCAGATCTACACACCATCACACCCATGCATCCCATCTACAAACTTAGGGGGTAGGGGTTAAGGGTCCATTTTGGAATTGGGGTGACTCACCTGGTCAGGATTCGGGTGAGGATGACTGGAATCACCAGGGAAACCGCCAGGAAGCCCAGGATGGGGCAAACATGCATGGCCCTGGAGTGGCGTGGAGGCAGGAAGACGTGCCACTCGCGGGTGAACAGCTCCACCTGCCTCTGGAAGGAGTTGGTAGTAGTGTTTGTAGTGTCTGAGGTGTTGCCGCTGGTCTCAGAGGAGATTCTGCTATGTCTCTCAGCGTGGCCAGAGCTGTTGTACCAGGTCCCAAAGGCACAGAGGAGAGACAGGACCATTTGGTTCTCTTCAGTGGCCATCTCTACAGCGCTAACGTGCTGTCTCCCTCTTTGTCCAGTGTCCAGCATCCCCGACCGACTGTGTCAACAATGAGTTTGAGGAGATAGTGCTTTTATTTTCTATCTGAGTGTGAAGTCTTCGATTAGGCAATCCACAGATCCGTTTGTTATTGGTCTCCTTGGACACCCAGATAAGGGCAAACACGTCTTTAGAGACAAATGGACAGAAATGCTACTTTCCCATAATATTATGGTCATAAAACCCCAGCTGTTAGGTGCTTATGTAGCTTGTTGACATTATATAATGTGTGACGATCATGTAGGCTACATTTGGGTTATGTAGAATTGATTCAACCCCCACCTACATTGTTTTTAAACAAGCTCAATGTTCAGTGCATGAAACAGAGAGCTGATATAAAAGTATATGAGAACGCAACAATAAAGTCATTTCTCAAAGTAGACACCCAACAAAACCAACCCTTACAAAAAAAGATTGCAGTCAGAGTACACTGTAGTTTAACTGCAGTCAGAGTGCAGTATAACAACAGTATGCTGCAAATACTGCGTCCAAAATAACACTGTTTTTTCTACTGCAGTAGTTTTGCAGTGTAGGTGCAGTATAACTGCAGTTCAACTGCAGTATAACTGCAGTTATTCTGCAATTACTGCATCCAAAATACCACAGTTGACTGCAGTTTCAAAACTGCAATCTTTTTTTTGTAAGGGCAAAGCAACACAAGCCGTTTTAAAGTCACCACATAAAGAGCTGAATACGGTATGTGAAAATAAGAGGCCAATGAAGTTTAATTATTTGGGAAGGTATTAGGACAGCATTCCAGAACAGTCACAAACATATAAAACGTGTTTCATGTACAAATATCCCCAAGACATGCTAACCTCTCACCATTACAATAAAAGGGGAGGTTAGCATTTTTGGGGTGGTATGGTATTTGTGCGTTCATTATTCACGATCCATTCAGGATTATCTGTAATCATGGTAGCATCCTCATTAATGTAGAAGTGTTCAGAAACATTATTATGATTATGCACACGGCATACTGCGGGTCACAAGAGAACATACTGGGCTTCATTAGGTACAAATATTTGGGGACAAGTGCTTTAGGATGGGCACTCTCACAAGAGTGTTTATTAAACAAACTCTCGGTCCTCTCATGTCTCTTTATGGGGTTGTGAGTGTGTGGGTCTTTCTCTCTAGGCCACAGTGACCTGGCTGAGCCTCCTGCGTCGGTGCAGCACCGCCAGCAGAGTATCAGAGATATCCCTGTACCACAGACCATACAGGTAGGGAGCACAGGCCCTGGGCAGTAGCATCAGCATGCACATATTGACTGTGTTGATCCACACGCGGATATCCTGGCTGACATCCTGGCGCTGGTACAGAACCAGCTCCACAATGAAGACCAGGCCCGGGCCGAAGTAGAGTAGGAGCAGCACCCCGTGGGCCAGGAGGGTGACCCGGGCCCGGGAGTAGCGGTTCTGCCAGATGCCCTGGGTCTTGGTGACCCAGTAGAGACGGCCGTAACAATACAGGATGAGAAGGGTGCAGACGATGGCTCCGATGGTGAAGTACATGTGAACGCCCGGCATCATTTCTCTATGTATGATGCCTATGGAGATGAGAATGAGACAGACCTCTGACCTCTGTGGGGCGTCGTCCTTCATCGCCTCCATGACGATGAACAGGGAGACTGGGTACATGGCGGCTAACAGCCAGACCCCGGCTAGGATCTTTCGGGTACGGGCCGGGGGGAGCAGGTCGTGGTAGTGGAGCGGCCAACGTACTGCCACGTACGTATCCACCACCTTCAGCGTGACGGTCAGCACAGCACAGCAATACGCCGTGACGGTCACTGCCGAAACCAGCTCACAGACTACCCTCAGCATGGCTACCCCTAATGTATTACAGACTACAATAACAAGGTTGAGGGAGAGGAAGAGCAAATCTGCGGCCAGGGTGTTGGCCAGCAGGAGGTAGCGGGTCTCCTGGCGCAGGGACCGGGAGAAGAGGATGCAGGCCAGGAGGATGGGGTTGGCCAGTAGGGTGGCCAGGGTGAGGAGGGAGGCGGGGATCAGGAAGAGCTCCAGGTGCCAGCGCTGCAGACTGTCATACCACTGGTGTGAAATGTTGGTTATGGCTGTCATGTTCTCTGATAGAACCATCTGGAACTGTGTGGTTAGGTGCTGGGTCGTATTCATTAGTGCACAGCGTAGCAAAATGTTTTGCAATGGAAAATGGAAAAAAAAGCGTTTCTTAGTGGACAAGTTCAGGTAGTCCCTCCCTGTTTCAGTCCGTTCTCCTCCGTTTGGTGCCAAGTGAATACCTACCTGTGGATTGAAATAGACAGCATTGTAACTCTGTGGACGGGTGCAGGACGCCTTTCCTAAAGATGGTATTTTCTTTCTGTGGCAAATCAGATAGACTGAAACAATGGTATAAAACTTAGTGGGCCTACCCTTATACCAGTGTTTTAGAACCTAATAAATGTTATTATGAAGTGTATACAATTTATGTATATAGATATGCTTATCTCAGTCTGTTTGGCTGTCTAGGAAAGCCTAGATGTTACATTACAGTAAGATGGAGAGATTTCAAACCCATTTGACCCACTATATGACAGCCCTGTATGTCAGTGTGTACCTTAATTAACAGACTGATTAAAACAAACAGCGGCGTTCATCTGAAGGAGCTTATCTCTGCATTATATGGACACAGGTACTATGATGGAGAGTCTTCAGCAAACTAGTTTCTTTGAAGTTGTTATTGGGTAAACATTCTTCAATATAGCAGATAGCTAATATTATTTCAATGGAAAGTAATCTTGTCTCCCCCTCCCTCTCTCTCAGGCGCAGACAGTGTAGATGTCATCTGCTTTGCAATTTACACAATATATTCAAATTAACAACAAGATTAATCACACATTAATTCAAATTTGAAACCACAGAGTGTCATAATCCCATCCTCGTCTGTGAACTATCCACCACCTTTAGTGTGTCAGCACAGCAATACGCCATGACCGTCACTGCCGAAACCAGTACCCTCAGCATGGCTACCCCCCAAATACGTTCTCATTTAGGCTACTACAAGAATAACAAGTCATCATCTGTTCTCTCATCCAGGTCCGACCCTGTTTAGCTTCAGATAGATCAAGAGACATTTAGGGTGGTATGTCTGCTGAATATCCAATATTACTCGACTCATAGCAGCCAGTCATCTAAAGATATATACAGTTGAAGTCGGAAGTTTACATACACCTTAGCCAAATCCATTTAAACTCAGTTTTTCACAATTCCTGACATTTAATCCTAGTAAAAATTCCTTGTTTTAGGTCAGTTAGGATCACCACTTTATTTTAAGAATGTGAAATGTCCGAATAATAGTAGAGAGTGATTTATTTATTTCATCACATTCCCAGTGGGTCAGAAGTTTACATACTCAATTAGTATTTGGTAGCATTGCCTTTAAATTGTTTAACTTGGGTCAAACATTTCGGTAGCCTTCCACAAGCTTCCCACAATTAGTTGGGTGGATTTTGGCCCATTCCTCCTGACAGAGCTGGTGTAACGGAGTCAGGTTTGTAGGCCTCCTTGCTCGCACATGCTTTTTCAGTTCTGCCCACATATTTTCTATAGGTTTGAGGTCAGGGCTTTGTGATGGCCACTCCAATACCTTGACTTTGTTGTCCTTAAGCCATTTTGCCACAATTTTGGAAGTATGCTTGGGGTCATTGTCCATTTGGAAGACCCATTTGCGACCAAGCTTTAACTTCCTGACTAATGTCTTGAGATTCAATATATCCACATAATTTTCCTTCCTCATGATGCCATCTATTTTTGTGAAGTGCACCAGTCCCTCCTGCAGCAAAGCACCCCCACAACTTCCGACTTCAACTGTACATTTTGAATGATATAGCAATCTATATAAACAATTCTAAAAAGTTGATAATTTCACAACTTTCTATAGCTAATTATTTAGTGATAAATGATCAAACCATCAATATAAATTATGATTTTGACTTTATCACGTCAGACTTCATGCTTTAGCTTTTTAATCAATGCCGTTTTAATCATTAAACTATATCATTACAAAATAACTTCTGTATCAACTTTTCTCCCTTGTCTAGAACATGAACACAAAAGAAAAAAAACTGAACGCAGTCAAGTTTACACAGACACACCTACACCTATCGACAAGCGTATCGATCAACCAAAGGCAACGTTTCATTCATGTAACCAGTTTCCGTCAACAATAAATACAAGTCCAAAGGGATTTTCTTACCTTATTTTCAAAGCAATGGCTGGCATTCATCCATTAGTGTTAATGCTTCTATAAATCAATGATCCAGCAACTGACTGACTGCACCACTTGCCTTATCAGTCCTGATGCACTGTCTGTTGACTCATAGAACATAGCACAGGGATGAATAAAGACATGGCCACTTAGCTGTTTCACAGAGATACGGGCTGTGTCTCATTCCAGAAAATGATGTACCCTCCCCTCTTGCCTTACTCACTCCCCATCACAGATCTGAGAAACATGGTTGGTGTAAGTTTATGTCAATAGTGCCACTTTCAGTTTCCACCATATTGCTTTCACCAATAAAACCCTATAAGGTCTACGAAGGTCAAAGAGGGGAGGGGAAATAACTTTGTGGAATGAAATGCAGCCATAGAGCATCAGTGAATAGGATCACTCTCCCCCTCTCATCCAGACAGTTGGGGCTAAACTAACAGTGCAGGTGTAAGCCACGCCAGTTCAGAGTGTTCTTATCCATTAGCCCTCATGGTGTTGACATCCTCATCTGATCTCATATCCGGATGGGACAGACATTAATGACTAAGCCGCCATATGCTGCCTGGGGCCAGGCCAACTCTGACAGGGACCACTATGGTGCTGGGGCCAGGCCAACCCTGACAGGGACCACTATGGTGCTGGGGCCAGGCCAACCCCTGACAGGGAACACTATGGTGCTGGGGCCAGGCCACCCCTGACAGGGAACACTATGGTGCTGGGGCCAGGCCAACCCTGACAGGGAACACTATGGTGCTGGGGCCAGCCAACCCTGACAGGGACCACTATGGTGCTGGGGCCAGGCCAACTCTGACAGGGACCACTATGGTGCTGGGGCCAGGCCAACCCTGACAGGGAACACTATGGTGCTGGGGCCAACTCTGACAGGGACCACTATGGTGCTGGGGCCAGGCCAACCCTGACAGGGAACACTATGGTGCTGAGGCCAGGCCAACTCTGACAGGGACCACTATGGTGCTGGGGCCAGGCCAACCCTGACAGGGACCACTATGGTGCTGGGGCCAGGCCAACCCTGACAGGGACCACTATGGTGCTGGGGCCAACCCTGACAGGGACCACTATGGTGCTGGGGCCAACCCTGACAGGGACCACTATGGTGCTGGGGCCAGGCCAACCCTGACAGGGAACACTATGGTGCTGGGGCCAGGCCAACCCTGACAGGGACCACTATGGTGCTGGGGCCAGGCCAACCCTGACAGGGAACACTATGGTGCTGGGGCCAACCCTGACAGGGACCATTATGGTGCTGGGGCCAGGCCAACCCTGACAGGGACCACTATGGTGCTGGGAACAGGCCAACCCTGACAGGGAACACTATGGTGCTGGGGCCTCAAAGTCAATATGGGCCTCAAAGTGTACACTTCACTTTGCCCTACCGTTGCCATGGATACCTGGACAGGTAAATAAGTGAATGGGCACACAGGTGCAGTTTGGAGAACGAGATGAAAGTGGTTGCCATCCCAACAGGACATGTTCATGTGTTTTTACAATTGTGTGTTTGTTCAATGAGCGGACAGTCATTGATGGAAGACACACAGTATTACTAAATGTTCATACAACAGATCAATAACAGTCAAAATAGTAAAGCAAAGGCCAGCAATGAAAATGAAAATACTTTATTTCATTTTTACAAGCGATAAATAGCTAGATCATTTTGAATATCCATTATGTTTCGGATATCACCAGTTCCCCCACAGTCTCATCTCTTTCTCCTCTGCCTATAGCCACTTTTCATATCTTCCTCATCTTCATCTTCCTCTTCATCATCACTGTCAGCTCCCATATCCCTCTCCTCCTCTTCATCATTATCCTCATCCTCCTGCCACTCTCTCGTCATCAGCTTCTGAAACACCTCAAACTCCTCCTGCGTTGCCATGGCGATGTCGGCCAGGTAGGTTTCCTCGGCGGCGGCTAGGATGTCTTTGAGTTTGGGGTTGACAATGAGGGTCTGGCCCTTCTTGTCTGGCGTCTGGTACAGCCCCCTGCGCTCCAGGAAGCTGTGTCTGCAGCGTACCTCCTCCAGGGTGACACGGAACAGCTTGGACTTCACCATCTCCGCCTGCTTGACCCCCATGCGGAAGTAAGCGTACTGCCGAGACGGATGGGGGGTGAAAAAGGTGTAAGGAGACAAAGAAAACTTGTGTCAAATGTTCGACATTAAGGACCAACATATAAAAAAACATATAGGCCTAGTGATAAGCATAAGGCATTTGTAGTTGTCTTGCTGGCAGCTGGAGCTTCAATTTCTTTACTGTCCCAATTGGGAATTTTTCATTGAGAATACAAAGTCTCCTTTCCTAAAGAACTATAATCCGCCTCGTGTTTTGTTTCTTTGCCACGATACTAACGAGTATCGCGATACTAGTATCGTCCCGCCCCAATATTTTGGTATCAATCACATCCTCCACAATGGGAGAATCTCAATCTAATGTCCTTTATTACCTGCATCCTCTCTCCTCGCCTCCTTCTCAAAACCCATTGGATGAGTCCCTCCCCTCTGACCTCATCCAATGGGTTTTGAGAAGGAGGAGAGAGGAACGCAGTTAATCAAGGACATTAGATTGAGATTCTCCCTATAACTCCCAATGAGTGTGAGCGCTGACCTGGAACTTGTACTCCAGCTGTCCCAGGTCATCCTGAACCACGGCTGGAGAGTCTCTGAAGATGTCAGTGGCCTGCTGGACGGTGAAGGCACACTTCTCCCTGAGGAACCTGGCTACCGTGTTCACCCTCTTCAGAGGCAGTGTCAAGATCTGAGGGTAGTGGCTCACCACCCTCTGCAGACTGCCTGGAGAGACACACACATAGGGGTTACTGAGCATCCATGGAAAATGGGTGGAAGATGTTACGCACATACACATCCAATGCAGTGGAGGCTGCTGATGGGAGGAAGACTCATAATAATGGCTGGAGTGGAGTGAATGGAATCCAAAACATGTGTTTGATACCATTCCATTCCAGACATTGTTATGAGCCGTCCTCCCTCAGTAGCCTCCACTAATCCAATAATAATAATATAATATATAATATGCCATTTAGCAGACGCTTTTATCCAAAGCGACTTAGTCATGTGTGCATACATTTTTACGTATGGGTGGTCCCGGGGATCGAACCCACTACCCTGGCGTTACAAGCGCCATGCTCTCACAATTGAGCTACAGAGGACCACGATAGTGTTGTGAATATTGTAGATATTCCAAAAACATATATTTAATAACAATCACAACCTCAGTTATGCAAAGTACAATTCACTGGGTCTGACTCTCAAATGATAAAGTACACTGCACAACCTGTGAGAATAGAGAGCTAAGACAGGTCCATCCTCTCACCTTCAAGCAACCCTAGTCTCCTCAGGTTGTCCATACGTTGCTGCAGCTGAGTGCCCTTCACGTAGAACAACTCTGGACACTTCTCCAGCACCTTCAGCACACTAGATGGGTTGAGGCCCAGGACGAACAGAGCCATGAGCGTGGAAGAGGCATGTTCACTCTGCCCTCCTCGACCCTTGGTTGCTGCCTCTAAGAGTTGATCTGCCTGGGTGTCTGTGAAGCCCATGTCAAGGAGAGCCTGTATGGATAGCTCCCTGCCCGGCTGCAGTTGGTACTGTGACAGGTCAGTATGTTGATGCAGGGTGCTAGTCTGGTTGTGGGTGGAACAGAGGAGTCTGCATGTCATGAAACCTCGTTGTCGTACATTGTCACTCCCAAGGATGGTTCTTAGATTTAGGACAGGGCACGTTGCATTTCTCAGTGTCCATCGCAGACCCTGCAGAAGAAAATATGGTAATGTAGCAGATGTGCAGCTGGAACTGAAAAGAATGGTAGCTTAGTCCTTGCCTGAGCAGTATGTTACAATCAGGTCAGGCATTCAAACCTATGTGACGTCAAAATACGTTACTTGACCTAGCTAGCTATCAAGCTAGCTAGCTAGCTGTGTAGTCTAGCTGCTCAAAACCGTTATCAAACTGTGAAAGTGTTAAACGTTTTTTTTTTTAAAGGTTAAAAAAATAGACCTCCATTAATTCACAATGCTTAACATTTACATTGTGTCAGCACAAACTCTCTAGAAATAGTAAAAACGTAGATACCAGCTTACCAGACGTCCGGTTGCTTGAACACTCATGTTTGTCCGACTGCAAAATATCTCCCCCTAGACTTAGCATAAGAGCATAGCGTTCCCCACTAGCTTAAGATCCCTTTCCGTCCATAGAAATAAAAAATGGTTCCGACTCCTCTTTTCAAGTTTCAGAGTATAACAGTACATTTATATTTGATATTATGAAAGTAGTTAAAGCTAGAGTCCTTAACCACGCTCAAATTCAAAGAGCTATGGATGCAATGACCGACCAGCCATGATATCAAAATTAGTTTTAACCATATTGAGGCTATACATTGTTTACAAAAATTTGAGTAAAAAAAGCTTATATTTCGTGTTATGATGGGCTATGACAGTTGAACTAAGCTCATGAGGCTTTTATCATTTAAATACTTTAAGAATCAATGGGTATGCATACACTCCCCTATGTATTTATTTGGACAGTAAAGCTAAAGCATTTAATTTGGATTTGAGATCAAATGTTTTATATGAGATGACAGCACATAATGTAATTTGAGGGCATTTTCATACGTGTATCTAGTCCCCCCATTTGAAGGTAACATAAGTATTTGGACAAATTCACTTGAAGTGTATTAAATAGTCAAAAGTTTAGTATTTGGTCCCATATTCCGAACACTAAATGACTACATCAAGCTTGTTGGATGCATTTGCAGTTTGTTTCTGATTATGTTGTGCCCAATAGAAATGAGTTGTAAGTAATGTATTGTGTCATTTGAGTCACTTATTGTGAATAAGAATGTGTTTCTGAATACTGCTACATTAATGTGGGTGCTACCATGATAACAGATAATCATTAATAATGAGTGAGAAAGTTAGACAAATATCATACCCCCATAAATGCTAACCTCCCCTGTAATGGCGAGAAGTTAGCATGTTTTGGGGGCATGCTCTTCGGGCATCTAACTTTCTCACGATTCATTCATGATTATCCAAAATCATTGTAGCATCCTCATTCATGATTATCCATAGTCATTGTAGCATCGACATTAATGTAGAAGTGCTTAGAAACATTCTTATTTACAATAAAACTGACTCCAAAATGACACAAATGTACCATTCATTTCCAATGGGTACAACATAATCCAAAACAAACTACAAATGCATCCAACAAGTTCAGAGTCACAAGCTTGATGTAGTCATTGAGTGCAAGGAATATGGGACCAAATAGTACCCTTTTTACTAAATTGAATACACTAAGTGAATTTGTCCAAATACTTGTGACACCTTCAAAATGGGGGGGGGGGGGGGGGGGGGGGGGGGGGGCACTACATACATAAAGTGCTTGTATGAAAAGAGCCCCCCCCCCAAAAATTAAATGACTTTCTTTACCGTCGCCTCATAAAACTCAAAACACTGCAATAGAGATTAATTTATAAGTCCCCCAAAAATTATAGCAACGATAATTCCAGCTTTAAATATGTATAATTTTATTTGCAATGTCAAAACGGGAAACCGTCTGAAACTGTGATAAAAGCATTTTATTAATGTGAATTAAATAAAAATATTAAAGTACTGTAAAAGACTTACATTTTGCACTAACAACAAGCATAAACAAGCAGTTAACACTACTATTTATTTAACAATTGTTTAATATCAGAAAACAGATAAAAGCAAAGTGAATGCATCTGGCCCGTTGGCAACCAGTTGCACCTAAATCAATCAAACCTCTGCTCAAGGCATCAGTGCATTTTATATTTTGAAGTGAAACTAGTCTTCAGCTTGAGACCCATTTTAAGGCTTTGGCAGCTACGCTACATTCATTACCCGATATACCACACAGTTCCTCTAATAAATAGATTACAGCAAATAAAGGCACCCGTAGGTGTTGTATAGTCAGCCCATTATTATTTTGCTGTACCTCTGGTTGTATTCACGTGAAGTCAATATCACTTTCAGGATACATATTTTTCCCCCAAACCACATTCTAAAAATGGTATTAATTTTTTTGGTAGTAAAAGCAGACTTGGTATTTATCGTCTCTTCAGTCAGTCCTGGCTTTTTGTCAGTGTGTCTGAATATACGAGGACGGGACCTGGGGTGCATCTCAAGTCTAAAATGGTTTTCCCACCCCTCGTCTCCTTCCCATTAGATAGAGAACATGGACAAGGTTTACACATCAGTGCATATGAAGGGAAGGAGATCGGAAGTCATGTCAGTACATTAAGATGCACCCCTGAAGTTCACTCATTCATCAGAGAGGTACTTCATGAGTTCAGTTGTCATGGCATCCACGGACCTCTCATCGTCATCATCAGAAGGAAGTGAAGAATCATCTCTAGCATCCGGGTACAAGCCCTGGCCTAGAAACTCCCCAGGAACGGACTCGTGGTACTGTGGGGGAGCTGTGAAGAGAGGAAAGTGACTATGGGTGAATTTTATTTGTATTTATTTTACCTTTATTTAACTAGGCAAGTCAGTTAAGAACAATTTCTTATTTACAATGACGGCCTACAACGGCCAAACCCGGACGACGCTGGGCCAATTGTGCGCCGCCCTATGGGACTCCCAATCACGGCCGGTTGTGATACAACCTGGAATCGAACGAGGGGGTCTGTAGTGACGCCTCAAGCACTGAGATGCAGTGCCTTAGACCGCTGTGCCACTCGGGAGTCTGAGGATGTATTAAATATGGACACTGTACCCTACAGACTAAAGTGGTTTGTCTTGTTTAGCTATTGGGAGATTAGAATGAACAGATGGAACAACAAGAGAGGGTCTCTTCGCCTCCACTGACCGTGGCTCTTGCAGTAGGGGAACACCTCTTCCCAGCTGTAGTCAGCCAGGCAGATGGGCTGGCGTATCCAGGGCTGCAGCAGGAGCTGCTCCAGGGTCATCCTCTGTTGGGGGTCAGGCTGCAACATCCCTGACAGCACAGCATGTAGGTCTGGGGAGCACAGGAAGAGGTCAGACACCTTGCACCTGACTGTTTAGTAGCAGGGTTGTGGAGAAGAAAACAGAAAATTAGGCTGTTGGTCAATTTTACTGATAAAATGCCACAAAGAATAAAAATCACTTTACTCCCGGGTAACCCGGTATTTCCCGCCAAAACTGGAAGTGCCATTAAAGCATATGTCTGGATTTGATCGGCATGAAAATTCAAGCCGGATGCTACCTGAGGCAGATGAGCCCTACATTAAAATACCATTTATGAGCCCAAATGATTGTTCCGTTATCCAATACATACAGTATGATAGGCCTATATAGGCTACTGCACATTATGCACCACTGAAGAAGAAGTCCATAGATGTATATACACTCTTGGATAAATAAATGAAACAAGCTCCAGTAATCTTTGAGTGTGGACTGTATTATTTGACTGGAATTTCACCCCTCGTTCAAACTATGAAGCTGGGAGAGGACACGCGATGCTGGTGCAGGACATGCGGCCTACAAAGTTAAAATCAAATTCGCTGGCCTATAATTGTAAAATATAATTGTACATTTTTATAATTAGTAGTCTGACAGCCTACCTTTCATGTTGTGCATATTACCTCCTATTTGTTGCTTCCTTCCTTCCTCGCGCTCAGTTAAATAAAATAAGTTGTCCTCGTCATCATTGTAATGACATGCTTGAATAATTCGCTTCTCATCATTGAAAGGTTGTGTTTTTGGACAAATAACTGTACCGCCATTGCGCGTTCACTCTTAAAACTCAGATTTCTTTAGGCTGTTGTATTTAACATTCAGAATCCCTCTTCAAAGTCTACCAGTTCAAGAAAAAATGCTATTGTAGTAGCTTTTACTGGGACTCCACAAGAGCTATAAAGGAGGCCAGAGGAGAGCAGGCGCATATTGCACAAGAGTGAAGACAGAGGTTATAAGTTAGAAACTTATGTATATTAACCAATCACTAGTTAAATAGAAGGCTGTTCTGAGGGCAAAAGGGGGTGCAATTCAATATTAGGAAGGTGTTCTTAATGTTTTGTACACTGTATACAAATCTTGAACACAATTATCCATTTTGGATGCAACTTGAATTGAACAGATAGAGAACGGCAGAAAGAGTGCTCGTGTGCGCACAGATTTAAAGCAACGATATTCGAGTGATTGGCCGTTTTAAACTGCAAAAAAATAATGGAATGTTTTCTCACTCCTCTTCAATGGCTGGATATTGGCGGGAACTGGAACACGCTGTCATACATGTCGATCCAGAGCATCCCAAACATGCTCAATGGGTGACATGGCTGGTGAGTATGCAGGCCATGGAAGAACTGGGACACTTTCAGCTTCCAGGAATTGTATACAGATCCTTGCGACATGGGGCTGTGCATTATCATGCTGAAACATGCAGTGATGGTGGCGGATAAATGGCACGACAATGGGCCTCAGGATCTCGTCACGGCATCTCTGTACATTAAAATTGCCATCGAAAAAAAACCAATTGTGTTCACTGTCCGTAGCTTATGCCCAACCATACCATAACCCCACAACGGGGCACTCTGTTCACAACGTTGACATCAGCAAACCGCTCACCCACACAACACCATACGTGGTTGTGAGGCCGGTTGGCATTGTGTTGTGAAAAAACGGCACATTTTAGAGTGGCCTTTTACTGTCCCCAGCACAAGGTGCATCTGTGTAATGATCATGCTGTTGAATCAGCTTCTTGATATGCCACACCTGTCAGGTGGATGGATTATCTTGGCAAAGGAGAAATGCTCACTAACAGGGATATAAATAAATGTGCACAAAATTTGAGAGAAATAAGCGTTTGGTGCATACGAAACATTTCTGAGACATTTAATTCTAGCTCATGAAACATGCATTTATATTTTTGTTCAGTATAATTTAAACAGTTCCATTACATGTTTACGTGTTTCTAGCAGTTATTTATCCTGGGAAACGGAAGTGGGTTTGGGTGGGAAATCTCAGTAAATCTTGGTAAACCGGTTCCCGCTATTACACCCCATTTCTGACTGATGTCCTACCTGGAGAGACAGGAAAGGGGGGCTTGAGTGTGGACTGCAGGGTCTCCTCCATGTCACAGAAAGGGTTCTCACCAAACAGCAGGGTGTAGAGCAGCACCCCCAGAGACCACAGCTCCAGCTCTGGACCACTGTAGCTACGCAACACACAGGGGAGGGAACCCACAGTAAGTAAACAGGGGAGGGAACCCACAGTTAGTAAACAGGGGAGGGAACCCACAGTAAGTAAACAGGGGAGGGAACCCACAGTAAGTAAACAGGGGAGGGAACCCACAGTAAGTAAACAGGGGAGGGAACCCACAGTAAGTAAACAGGGGAGGGAACCCACAGTAAGTAAACAAAATGGAACAGGATTGTTCTCATTTATGGATTATCCTAGTTTATAGTTTTATAAAATCATGTTGCAAAAACTGTTTTGTCCTAACAGTTGTGTTGTGTATACTACCCCCTCAGCCTGTGTTGGTACTATGAGAAGTGGCTGTGTGTGTGGGGGGATTTTACCATTTAAATCATTTTTGGGGGGGAACGGAAAAAACTTTCAGTGTAAACTTAAACGACTAAAATCCAGATATAACGTATGTAGGAAAAATATAATCTATGAGAACGATGTCACCAAAATAAAAGCTAGACAGTCAGGAAGAATAGAAAATAGCCAAAACACTGAATTTATCAGTATTGATTTTGTTATGTTTCAGCCAAAGAACACGGCATTAGCCATGGCAAAATGCATAGATTTGCACAAAATTAGCTTGAACTGCAAAAAATCCTCAGCTCCACACAGAGAAATGTGTAGAGTTGAGGGAAATTGGCTTAAATTCAGACATTTCTCTACACCGCCAAGATGGGGACTAAAACGTTCTCTAAAATTCAGCCGCGCCGACGGGTCCAATGCCACTACTCCCATCATGACCCTGACAAGCACACTACCTAAGCCCCTTTTTGATCCAGAAAAAAAACAACCTGTGGGTACATACGGGTTGCCCTGCAGCACCTCTGGGGAGCAGTACTCCAGTGTGCCACAGAAGGTGTAGAAAAGCTTCCCTGGAGCCAGTGGGACGGCAGAGCCAAAGTCTATGAGTCTGATGTGGAACTCTGTGTTAATGATGATGTTCTCATCCTTGATGTCCCTGTGGAGGATGCCGTTGTTCCTCAGATACGCCACCGCTGCCACCAACTGGAGAGAAAAAGGATTAAAGGGACAGAGAGGGCAATGGACAAATAAAATAAAAAATGGTGAAACAGAAAGAGGTGACTTTTCACACAATACCCATCATTATCACATTTATATTGCTGCTCATATTTCTGTTTCCTTTCTACACACAGGTGTTCTGTCCCGTACCTGTCTGAAGATGTAGCTGGCCAGAGGCTCGTCCAGCTGGGGCTGTTTGTCTATGAACTCAAACAGGTCCAGACCATCCCCGTGCTTTTCCATCACCATCTGGAAGTAACCCTCGTTCTCAAACACCTCTAGGACCTGAGAAACAGATGGAGATAGGGAATAGAGAGAGGTAAAGAGGATAAACGTTTGTGTTATTCTGTATGGAGGAGATGTGGGTTACCGCTGAGAACCACATTAGAAACAAACTAAAAGTTGTTGCCTTGACGATGTTGTGGTGTGTCAGGCGGGTGAGTATGGCGATCTCCTGGCTGACACGGCCCAGCACGGGGTCGTCCACCCAGCATTCACCGACTATCCTGCCCTTCCTGATAAACTTCACCACCACCTACACACATAAGAGAGGGACAAACACTTTTAAAACACTATTTGACTATGCAAATCCATTACTTCAAAACATTCCAAAAACTGAATATGGATGCACAGTGAAATATTGTGAGCATGAAGCGCCCACAGAGAGGTCATACAGTTTGAGTCAGACAATTTTAATATATATTTTTTTTAACCTGAGTTTTGGAACACTGTCCTCCATAAAGACTTGTCATGGTACTCAGGTGTGCAAGTGTTGTCGGTCTTCATCTTTACTAGTAAAAGGAGAGAGTCCCCAGTCAGTCTCACCTTCTGTCTGTCAGAGCGTCTGCAAGCCTGCCACACGAAGCCGAAGGCCCCTTTCCCCACGGCGTGGAGCGGCTGGTACACCTCTGAGAACTGGCCATCGCACGCACGGGAATGGTCCAGGTCCAAAGTGGAGAGCAGCGCCTCCCCGGCCCCGCCACGGCTGGCCTCCAAGATCGCCTGAGTCAAAATACACAAATACAGTGCCTTCAGAAAGTATTCACACCCCTCACCTTTTTCCACATTTTGTTGTGTTACAGCCCAAATTTAAAATTGATTAAATTGAGGTTGTCACTGGCCTACACACATTACCCCATGTCAAAGTGGAACGTTTTTCAATTTTTACAAATTTAGAGCTGAAATGTCTTGAGTCAATAAGTATTCAACTCACTATGAAGATACAGGCATCCTTCCTAACTCCGTTTCCGGAGAGGAAGGAAACCGCTCAGGGATTTCACCACGAGGCCAATGGTGACATTAAAACAGTTACAGAGTTTAATGGCTGTGATAGGAGAAAACTGAGGATGGATCAACAACATTGTAGTTACTCCACAACACTAACCTAATTGACAGAGTGAAAAGGAGGAAGGCTGTCCAGATTAAAAATATTCCAAAACATGCATCCTGTTTGCAATTAGGCACTAAAGTAAAACTGCAAAAAAAAATGTGGCAAAGAAATGAATTTATGTCCTGAATATAAAGCGGGATGTTTGGGGAAAATCCGAGTACCACTTCATATTTTGAAGCATGGTGGTGGCTGCATCATGTTATGCGTATGCTTGTCATCGGCAAGGACTAGGTAGTTTAGGATAAAAAGAAACCGAATAGATGAAAATCTGGTGCAGTCTGCTTTCCAACAAAACACTGGGAGACAAATTCACCTTTCAGCAGGACAATAAAACTAAAAAAAGCCAAATATACACTGGAGTTGCGTATCAAGACAACATTGCATGTTCCCAAGTAGCCTAGTTACAGTTTTGACTTAAAATCAGTTGGCAAGACTTGAAAATGGCTGTCTAGCAATGATCAACAACTTGAGAGCTTGAAGAATTTTTATAAAAATGGGCAAATATTGTACAATCCAGGTGTGCAAAACTCTTAGGTACTTACCCAGAAAGACTCAGTGTAGTCACTGCCAAAAGTGATTCTAACATGTATTGACTCAGGGGGTTGAATACCTATCTAATCAAGATAGTGTTTTATTTTTATAATTTTTTTTTACAAATATGATAGAATCTTTCATCCACTTTGACTAGAGTATTTTGTGTAGATATCTATATATAAAATAAAAATTAAATCCATTTTAATCCCACTTTGTAACAACAAAATGTGGAAAATGTAAAGAGGTGTGAATACATCAATGTCTGTAGCGCAATACTCATATCTTTACTGGGCAGGGTGAAAGCAAAAAAATAAAAATGTGTCTGTCACCCTGTCCAAATCAACCACACGATTAATTAAATAAATGTGATTTTTCCAGATTAAGCAGGAGTACTGACCTCTCCCAGACTGAGTGCAGATGAGTCCTGTAGTGAAGCTCTGCTGCTGTAGAAGCCACTATAACACAGCATGGCCTCCTGCTGTCCAGGCCTACTCAGCCACACACAGAACACACACCTGGCCCCATCAAGCTCAGCCCTATGGATCTCACACTGCACCTCTGGAGAGAGGAGAAAAGAGAGGGAGGGGAAGAGTGGCTAGAATTAATCATCGTAGTTATGAAACTAACTTTGTAATCAAGGAGTACCACGCGCGTGGAGTTGCTCTAAACCTGGAAGCTCAGCTCAAAGAGAAAGGCTAAGTGAGAGCTTGTGAAGAGGTACCAACCGATTCTTGTTCCATCCCGGTGGTAAACATTTCCATCATAGCTCCCCTCTGTGATCTGCTTTGGGACCTTGGAGGATGGAGAGGACTCATTCACCTGCTGCTTCTTAGGGGTGGAGGTGGTGGGAGGGGTGTCCGAGAGCAACTGCATCCCTCCATTGATCTGTCTAGAGTCCTGGCTTTGGCCATTGTGGAGAACAGAGAACACAGCCCACTGGTCCCGTTCTTCCTCCCCCGCCGCTCCATTTAATTGACTGTTCTGGACCTCCACACAGCCGGGTCCCTCTTCCTGGTCGGACTCGACCACATACGGTGAAGGGGTTCGCAGGAGCTCGGCGGTATCAACCGAGGTATGGGAGAAGTCATCATCTCCCCCAACACTAGGCAGCTCTAGAATTCCACTCAGGTCCAGGTCGGCCATGGCCCGGGTCACCAGTTCCCCGTTGGTGTCCAGGTCCAGGTAGCAGCTGGCTGAGTCCACAACCTGGGCGGTCCGGGAGGTGACCTCCTTCGGACCGGACCCCCCATGACACCCAGCCCACTTCTCACAGAACCCCGAGGAGGAGCGGCTGCCCAGGGAGATCACCTCGAAGCTGGAGTCCTGCAGGGCCGACAGGGTCACACGGCTGCTGAGGGTCTTTGGCATGGTGTGGGGTAGGGCGGCAGGGCCGTGCTCCGCTGTGCTCATCCATGGTTGGAGTGTCTTAAGTAATACAAATAACACATTTATACATTAAAGTTCATTCTCAGAGGAAAATTTGAAGTGAATTTGGACCTCAAACATATCAAAATCAAATGTTTTGTCTAGCTAAAACTCTGAACATTTAGCCAATTCATACCTGGTCCCACCCCGTTGAGGAGCTGCCGTCCTGGGCTACAAGTTGGAGGGTGAGTGAGTGACAGGCAGAGCGTGTCGCCCCTCTCCACCAGGGCAAAGGACTGTAGCAGGTCGTGGGTGTTGTCTCCACTGTCACACTGACTGGGACACGGGGCAACCTGGGCTGCCTCTTCCATCAGTTCTGTAGTGTCATCAGCCCTGTGGAGAGATACCTAGTTACACCCCTAGCCCCTACAGAAACACTGGGGACAGTTAGGCCCCATATCAGCCCCTAGGGACAGTTAGGCCCAGGCCCATGTCAACCCCTACCATTCATGTGGTCCTCTGTAGCTCAGCTGGTAGAGCACGGCGCTTGTAACGCCAAGGTAGTGGGTTCGATCCCCGGGACCACCCATACACAAAAATGTATGCACGCATGACTGTAAGTCGCTTTGGATAACATCTACAAAAATGGTATTCGGTAAACAACTGGCCTACCTCAGGGCCTCTCACCTGCTGACTTTGATCATTGCCTTTTAGTTAGTGTCTGATTCATTCAAGTGGGAAGTCAGGTGTCACTGGCCAAGGTGGAAATTAAAACCAGCATAAAACCCAAAGGGAACAGGACACCCCCCCCCATGTTACATGGTTATTTCAGGCCTGAACTATCTTGTCCATGGGTGACCTACCTGACCATGGGTGTGGAGGTAATCTCCGGAGGGCGCAGGGTGGAGGGAGCGCTGCCATGCTCCTCCAGTCTGGTACTGGTCCCAGTGAAGATCCTGCCCTTCCCAGTAGAGAGGTTTCTCCCCAGTCCTGCATACTGCACCATGGCCATGTCACCAGCCAGCAGAGAGCTGGGGTCTAGACACCCAGAAACAAAAAAAGATTGATTGATTTTACGATTACTCATAGGATCGTTTTTCCTTTTGACTACCTTACTTGGATTCTGAAAAACTACGTGATTTGGGGGATTTGACACAGACCCCATGAACATGAAGAATCAACGATGTGATCAGCAAAACAATGAAAAACAGGAAGATTAGTTTGTGGATTGGTACACCTAAATGACACATGAATAGAGGATGACCACACTGACTATGTAGAAAGGAACATGTTTTCATGAATAACAAGCACTAGTAACATTTCAGAAATGTAAGTTAGTGATGAGTGAGAGCCAACCTTTTCCCTGTTGAAGTTTGCCTCCCATTGGGAGTGTGTGAATGGGATGGATGACCATGCTAGTAGCAGGGACAGGGTTAAGATGACCCGAGTATCCACAGGGGTCTGGAAGGAGTGAGATGGAGGGGAACAGTTACTGCTCAGTCTACTGGAAATCTGACAAACACCCACAGCTGGCTGCCATCCAATAGGGTTTGTTTTCATGGAGTGGAAAGCACCAATTGGATTATAGTATTTAACCCAGCCCAGGTGCTAAACCAATAGAGCAGGGGTATTCAACTCTTCCCCTACGAGGACCGGAGCCTGCTGGTTTTCTTTACTACCTGATAATTAATTGCACACACCTGGTGTCCCAGGTCTAAATCAGTCCCCAATTACGCAGTGAAAATGCTGTGGGAACTTGCTTCGAGGTCCAGAGTGGAGTTTGAGGGCAATAGCGGTTCAGAGGCCTCGTGTCCCTGTCACTAGTGTTCAGCTCTACAACAGGGAGCGTTCCTCACTCCTGGTTCTGGGGACAGTGTGTGCAGGCGTTTGTGCCAGCCCAGCACTTAGAGGTACTATCCTAATTTGATCACTTTTGCCACAAAGAATTTTCCTGCAAAGCAGCAAATGCAAATTGTAGTGTATTCAAGGTTTTAAAAGGATTCTAAAGTTTTAAATTCCACTTAAATGTCAGACTTGATTTAGCCCAACTATAAAATGTATCAACCCCTACAAAAATGTCCATTAATTATAAAATCAACATAATTCACATTTCCTTTGCTGCAGGATTATTTTCCTGCTGTGAGGAACTGGTCAAATTAAGATAGCACATCTGTACACAACTGGGATAATCAAGGTCTTTGATTAATAGTTGATTAGCTGAATCAGGTGTGCTAGTGCTAGGATGGAACAAAAGCCTGCATACACTACGACAGCCATCAAGAACTAAGAGAGAAATACAGATATCCACCTACGATGGAGAGAGAAACTGAACTACAGATGAGTCACCTGTGTTGCTGCAGGTAGAGGGGTTTGACAAGCCTGTGTGTAGAAGCCCACCCACTGGGTGGTGGGGTAGGGGACTGGAACCATTCTCCAAGCCACAGAACCAATCATAGAAAGCAGGCATCAGGAACGTGACATCCTGTAGGACACACGACAAAGACAGTTAGTGGAGCAGGATTAGGGTAAATTCCAGAACATTCAGTAAGTACACTGAAGTACAATTCTCTTCAATTAGGAACATTTGGAATGTGGTTTACTTTCTGAATTGACCCCAACCCTGGAGTAGAAACAACTCTAGAGAGCTACGTTAGGGAACCCACTACAGCTTATTGAATCCAGAGGTCCATAAAATGAGTCTCTTTTGCATCAGCCAATAACTGAAAACACAATGAAGGCTGCAGAGTTCATCATTATGATAATGATGAATATTGGGTATAGTAGAACAGCATTGGTTGATTGGCTAAAAGCCACGGTATATCAGACCGTATACCACGGGTATGACAAAACATTTATTTTTACTGCTCTGATTACATTGGTAACCAATTTATAATAGCAATAAGGCACTTCGGAGGTTTGTGGTATATGGCCAATATGCCACAGCTAAGGGCTGTATCCAGGCACTCTGCGTTGCGTCATGCTTAAGAACAGCCCTTAGCCATGGTATATTGGCCATATACAACTGCCCCTCGGGCCTTACTGCTTAAGTAAAACTCCTTCCCACTGTGCTGCTACATCTGCATTGCTCCTGGGGGGGGGGGGGGGGGGGTTGGTTTAGGCTGGGTTTCTGTATAAGCACTGACATCTGCTGATGTAAAAAGGGCTTTATAAATACATTTGATTGATTGAACCAGAGTGTATGACAGAAGAGGTGCAATTTTAATACCTTCCCCTGTAGCTCAGCATTCCCAAAGCCCAGGAGACTGAGTGCCAGGTGGTTGTGGATGCTGTTGATGGAGCCATCAGGGTGGAGGGTGAGGAGACCGCTGAGAGGGGCAAACACCCACACTGTCCCAGAATAGACCAGCCCCGAACCAGGCGAGAGGAGGTTGCGGTCCTCTTTCACACCTGACGGATGGCATGGCACACAGACATGGTCTTTAGAGATCAAATACTGCTTTTTTTAGTGCAAGAAATCATCTTTATCTTACATTATACATGCACAAAATATGTCTTATATACAAAACATCCTATTCTGTAGTAACATTCCTCAAAGAGACTAAAAAAATTAGAATAGCACTGTCCTACCAGAGGATAGTTCCTTTCTATGTGGCTGCTCACAGTGCTCTGGTGCTCTGCAGACTGGGGAGGAGAGGAGGAGGGAACACTGCTGGTTCTCAGGTCCTCCAGGGGTGTCTTTGGGTTCTGGGCAGCCCAAACCATCCCCATCCTTCAGCTGCTGGGGTTTCCCACACACCACCGCCACATGGAGTTTAATACATAGGAGGAGGGAGGTGCCCCCCCTGCTTCGACTGGACACCCTCTGGACCCTCAGCATCTGAGGGAAGGGAGATGTTAAAGCAGTGCTCTATATGGGACAATAGGTGTGTGTGTGTGTGTGTGTGTGTGTGTGAGGGCTGACCTTGGGCAGAGCGCGGCTGTGGAGGGGGATCTGTAGAGAGGGGATCATCTCTCTGATAGACATCCCTGTCAGCTCCTCAGTCTTCCTGTAACCATGCAGATGGGCGAAGACCAGGTCACAGCTCAGGATGCTCCCCTGGAAGGAAAAGTGATCGCCCATTGAGTCTGGCTACAGAGGCCCTGTGGTCGTATTCATTAGGCACCATACTGAAAACCACCGAAAGGGACTACCTGGAATTTTATGTTGCAGAAAATATGCTGTGTGCCCTTATGAATATGACCCAGAAATGACTCGAGTTTTGCAGGATGTCAACTGCCACACTAAACCACATCTTGGAATATGCAACCATGTGTGTAACTTACATCTTGTGAGAAGGACACATGGGCTGAGAGTCTCTCCACACGCTCCATCATGACCAGGCAATGCTGTCCTCCCTGTGACTGTCTCTGGGTCCACACAGACACTGGGACCTCAGTACCACACTGGCTCACTGCATCCAAACTATCCAGAGAAGAAAACAGGATCGTCATCTCAATGCCCTGATCTAAGGATGTGTGAATATATGTTAAACACTTGAGGACACAATGGATGTACTCTAAGCAAGACAGAAAAATAACAATGTTTTGACAAGCAACAACAGAGAGGGCTGTGCAGAAGGAAAATGATTGAGCCTTTATCATTCTTACCACTTTTCCAGACACCACTGCTACATTTCCATCGGTCTGAAGACACGCCTCACTTAAAGCTTCTTCCAGGACCTGATTGGTCTTCTTCAGGAAGCAGGACAGCTTTTGTCCAACCAGATCATTGCTGGTGCACTCAAACAATGTGCATGCCTTCACATTTGCAGCCAATATCTACAAAACACACAAAAATTGTCTCTTGTGCAAATGACCACTCTTTAGCCTTAAATTATAAAAAAAAAAACTCCTACATTAGACAATAATCTACTACACAAATTACTTAAAGGTTCAATGTAGCTGTTTTTACCTCAATATCAAAACATTTCTGGGTAACAATTAAGTTCCATACTGTGGTTGCTTTCTTTTTGACCACTTTAATTGAAAACAAAGAGCAATTTCTCAAGCAAGAATTTTGCTAGGACTGTCTGGGAGTGGTCTGAGTGGGGAGGGGAAAACTAAACTAGCTGTGAGAAAGAGATCCTAACACAGGAGAGTAATGTTGAAAAACACTCCTCAAATGACATTTTATTCAACTGAAAAGTTCAAACGATGATTATAGTCATATCTTCTTGTCTTTGAAATGTTCTTAATATAATTTGTCAGCTTGTTTTGCATTCAGGGCAATAATAATGCATATAAGGAAATTACACAACCAAATGTCTTCCCTCCTTTGAAATGTTTGGTCACTTGGATTCCAAACCTCTCTGCCTAACTAAATTTACCACCCGGTGATGTCACCAGGCAGGCAAAAAACTCCATCCCACCAAAACCGGCTGAAATTTCAGTTCTTACACTACAATGGCATGATCATCATTTTCCACAGTATTATTCTGACCTCAGTGTGAAAATGTATATAAAAACACAGGAACATCACATTTGACTGCACTAGGCCTTTTAAAAGTTTCAAGCTAAATCTGATTTCAAAGCCATTTGCATTGTGTGAGAGCATTTGATATACAGCCCAATAGTAATCATATTAGTGGCACTACCTTGGTGCTCTTGCAGTCTACAGTGAGGACTGCCTTGTTGGGGTTGTGGACAGCTGGAGGTCCTGACAGCGCAAAGCCTCCTGCACAGGTCAACAGGCTGAGCAGGGTTCTGTCTGACTCGGACACAGTGGACAGCGAGTCTGACTGGCTGTGTGATCCTGAGCCATGCTGGCTGGGGATCTGAATGTCTCTCATAGCCACAGAGCTACAGGAGATCTGAGAGTCACCTAGAGAGAGGAAGGGGTTATTGTGTTACAGTACAGGGTCTTGTGATGACAAGCTAGAACACAAACACAGGGGTTGCCATGAACTAGTAATGATAGAGTATAAGCCCATGTCCTTTGCATTGTGATGCCATGGCCTCTTTCAATTGTGCTCGAGCTAGAGACTAAGCCTGAGCACTGCCAGACATCACGGCCATTGTGTTCGACAGTCCCATGTTAACTCCTAGTCCACAAGTATGAGCCAGAGGGAACCACTAGGGGTGTATTCATTAGACAGATTCTGTTACAAAAGGTTTCAGGCAGGTCCCTCCCGGTTTAGTTGCATTTGTTTCCTAGAGTAAACGGGTTCCATTGCAAAACGTTTTAACAGACCAACGGAATCTGACTAATGAATATGCCCTGTAGTGGATCCAGTTGCAGGAAGCACCCACCTGCTATGGATCCAGGAAAACGCCAGCGTTCTAGAGCCTGGCCCTTGTACAGGGGCCGCCCGACACACGGATAGGACTTGTTTAGGTCAAAGGAGTCATCCTCCAGGAGGTCCGAGGAGTCATCCTGGACAACGTTAACTGTGTCCCCTTTAGCACGAGGGTTGCCTTGATTCTCTGTCCAACGCGACTCAATCCACAGCGACATTGTGTGCTTTGGTCTACGGAAAGGATGCATTTTATTCAATTGTAACAGAGATGGTCTTTCTGGTACAGTAAACCTTTTGTTGTCCCACCCTAGCTCTGCTCCAGTGGGTCGTACGCTCTTACTATTACGCTGTTCTAGTGACTGGCTTCACTAGTTCTGGTCCATGCACATGCAGCGCGTAGTGCACATTTCGTATTCGACATATTTCGTATTTTGGAGGAATGTCGAATGACACCCGGCGCATTCTGAGAAATGTTCGTCAGCAGTCCTGCAACATCTTTACTCTGGTAAGTAGCCAAAGTATAGTGACTCCAGTCACGCCCTAGCTGGACCGGAGTTCGCTATTCCCATTCCTAGCAAGCTAACTGATGGCTAATTTTAGTTACTAGTTAGCTTGAGTAACACACCGGTGAATTAGGTCCACACCAAATTAGACAATTAACTTTTACCTGGCCAAAACTCACCTTTTTATTTGTAAACCTGAAATGAGCTTATTAGCAAGCTAGCTCGCTAACAGCTGTGTTGACTTTTCCTTGTTGGATTGAAGTTGGTTGCTAAGGAAGAGCTGCCACAAAATCCGACGAATCCTAAAGTTACAAGCAATGCACTCGCCACTGTATCGAGTTTAGTGACAACTTTGCGGGTAGTTGAAAGCGAAATATTATCTAAGAAAATACACAATTTTACGTTGTTATTTTTGAGCGAGTCTGGAAAAGTTTGTACATCGCGGGTTTTGCGTCACTGGAGGTATGAACAGCCAATCAGAGAACTATTATTCAAAGTCATTCAGGGCAATTATCCAATAAGTACTGCTCATGGGAGGAGTCGGTGGGTATGAGAGGGCTGTTTCTTCTTCTTCTTCTCCGTGTGAATTTCCGGCAGACTAGACGCTGTGTTGCATATTGCTGCCTTTCGCAGGTCGGAGTGCGGATTGCACATTTTGGTCACAAAAAAAATTGAAAAGGGTAATGGGAAAATCTTACATTGCACCACCATCTAACCCTGCACCTATACACTATCCCCCAAAACCCACCACCCCATACCACTACTTTGGCCCTAAATGATCCTACACCAAGCCATCGGCCTGGGAGGATGGAATCCCTTCTTTCAAAACTTCCAGAAGCTCTTCTGCACTAAAAATCTCTCACACCTAAATATTTATCTGCTACTGCAACTATCACATCTATCTTCTGTGATTTCCACTCCATCAGTGCAGAAATCGCAAGAAATCCAACCTTACTAAAACTCATCTGCTCTGGATCTCTCTCTTCAGGCCTACTCACTGGGGGGCTCCCAGTCGAATCACTCACCCTTGGGCTATCCTCTCTTCACTGCCTCAGCATAGGAAACATTTTGCCTCACTCGAACTCTGGAAATCTCAACCTGTCGCTCTCTCACAGGGCACTTCGGATCCCCAGCTGCATGGGCGCCCCCACAGTTGACAAATGCCCTCCTGCACATTCCTCACATCGTGGGATCTCCCTTCTACACACTGCTGCAACATGTCTGAATCCTTGGCACCTAAAGCACCATAGCGGGTTCGGAACATAGTCCCTCGCAGAAGAGCAAATATAACCTAACCTGGCCTTATCAGGTAGAAACTCAGTGTAAAGGCTCAACAAGACAGACAGGGTATTCTCAGTCTCGGCATTGCCACCTGGTCTACATCTCACCAAACGGCGGGCATCACAAACACCAGGAATATTATTTTTCATTTGATCCACCTCTACACTCAACACTACCCCACTGATCACTACTTTGAGCAGTGCCCTGCTCCGGAGAGCAAAGCATGACACAGGTTGAGCCCCGAGACGTGTGACGCAACGCACCCACTTCCTCTGGGTGGAGGATGCACAGAAAATCAAAACAATTCCACTTCTTGAAACTTTCAGAGATTTAACCATTCCCAGTTTGTCCTTTACCCAGTTTGACACAACGTATGGGTCGGCCAAAAAGCAGCAATCTTTCCAAAAATCTCACTCCTACCGGTCCAGAATCATCTCAGGTAGGATCCTCAGGGCAAACGTTGGAAGTCTCCACTACACCTCTCGCCACAGATAGACCCACTTCATCCTGGACTGGCTCAACTTCAGAGCGCTCACCACTGCCGACGACTCCATTTTGAGTTCCTCAAGGTTCTCAAGAGAGCAAGTAGACCTATAGGTAAGTTTACTTGGTTTGTAGTCAGGAGAAGAAGGGATGTACTCAGGAGACGAAGGTCTGAACTTAGCGCCATTCTTACGCCCTCGCGTCATCGTAATTCCGTCCCCTTCCAAGAGAGGACCGTTCTCTCTGTGTGAGCGACTTTCCATAGCAAGATGATAAGCGCTGAATATCTATGGGAGGGCTGTTTGATTACTTTCTACCTTCATAAACAGTCATTGAGGGGATTCAATTAATCTGTCCTGGGCGCCCGGGTAGGCATGTTTTGCATCGGGTGAAAGTCGGTTGCATTTGTTTTGGAACTGGGCTGCCTCCGGGGAGAGCCAGGTGCATGCAAAAGTGATTGCTTTTAATTAAAAAACGCTCTATCTGCCTTACCAATGAAAAGCAGTTAGAAAATTCAAACATACAGTGAGGGAAAAAAGTATTTGATCCCCTGCTGATTTAGTATGTTTGCTCACTGACAAAGAAATTATCAGTCTATAATTTTAATGGTAGGTTTATTTGAACAGTGAGAGACAGAATTACAACAACAAAATCCAGAAAAACGCATGTCAAAAATGTTATAAATTGATTTGCATTTTAATGAGGGAAAGAAGTATTTGACCCCCTCTCAATCAGAAAGATTTCTGTCTCCCAGTTGTCTTTTATACAGGTAACGAACTGAGATTAGGAGCACACTCTTAAAGGGAGTGCTCCTAATCTCAGTTTGTTACCTGTATAAAATGCACCTGTCCACAGAAGCAATCAATCAATCAGATTCCAAACTCTCCACCATGGCCAAGACCAAAGAGCTCTCCAAGGATGTCAGGGACAAGATTGTAGACCTACACAAGGCTGGAATGGGCTACAAGACCATCGCCATGTAGCTTGGTGAGAAGGTGACAACAGTTGGTGCGATTATTCGCAAATGGAAGAAACCCAAAATAACTGTCAATCTCCCTCGGCCTGGGGCTCCATGCAAGATCTCACCTCGTGGAGTTGCAATGATCATGAGAACGGTGAGGAATCAGCCCAGAACTACACGGGAGGATCTTGTCAATGATCTCAAGGCAGCTGGGACCATAGTCACCAAGAAAACAATTGGTAACACACTACGCTGTGAAGGACTGAAATCCTGCAGCGCCCGCAAGGTCCCCCTGCTTACGAAAGCACATATACATGCCCGTCTGAAGTTTGCCAATGAACATCTGAATGATTCAGAGGAGAACTGGGTGAAAGTGTTGTGGTCAGATGAGACCAAAATCGAGCACTTTGGCATCAACTCAACTTGCCGTGTTTGGAGGAGGAGGAATGCTGCCTATGACCCCAAGAACACCATACCCACCGTCAAACATGGAGGTGGAAACATTATGCTTTGGGGGTGTTTTTCTGCTAAGGGGACAGGACAACTTCACAGCATCAAAGGGACGATGGACGGGGCCATGTACCGTCAAATCTTGGGTGAGAACCTCCTTCCCTCAGCCAGGGCATTGAAAATGGGTCGTGGATGGGTATTCCAGCATGACAATTACCCAAAACACACGGCCAAGGCAACAAAGGAGTGGCTCAAGACGAAGCACATTAAGGTCCTGGAGAGGCCTAGCCAGTCTCCAGACCTTAATCCCATAGAAAATATGTGGAGGGAGCTGAAGGTTGAGTTGCCAAACGTCAGCCTCGAAACCTTAATGACTTGGAGAAGATCTGCAAAGAGGAGTGGGACAAAATCCCTCCTGAGATGTGTGCAAACCTGGTGGCCAACTACAAGAAACGTCTGACCTCTGTGACTGGGTTTTCCACCAAGTACTAAGTCATGTTTTGCAGAGGGTTCAAATACTTATTTCCTTCATTAAAATGCAAATCAATTCATAAGATTTTTGACATGCGTTTTTCTGGATTTTGTTGTTGTTATTCTGTCTCTCACTGTTCAAATAAACCTACCATTAAAATTATAGACTGATCATGTCTTTGTCAGTGGGCAAACGTACAAAATCAGCAGGGGATCAAATACTTTTTTCCCTCACTGTATATTTGATAGAAAATAGATTCTGAATGATGCACCATGCTGCCTTGTTGACAACACGACCGAGCGGCGCAGAATACTGTTGGATTTGAGAAGGGCGTTCCTCCCTCACCGCTTTTGCCCGGTTACACACCAGTGCCCTGCGGCTCAGCATAATCGAATCTGCCCAATGCTTTCTATTGACACAAGAGGAGGAGAGGGATGAGGTTTTGGCAGAGGTACGGGAGGGTGCATCCAAAGATGGGTCTACTTATACTTGTTTTTCAAATAGAAGAATCTAGAAATGTTTTCGTTTTCACGTTCTGCTGGAAAAAGCTACATAATGAAATTGGTAGGCTACATCCACAACTTTAGAGGAACATTTTTCCAATAGCGTCATCAATTCTATTCTGACCATTCATTTCACAAATTTGAAAAATGCTTCTGGATATGAGGTGTTTCTGCACAGAGAATACCATCGTTCACACTGGATATTTATTTATATACACTATGTACAAATTAACAACAACAACTACATCAATTAAGGAGTCTCGACTGAACACTCAGCCTCTAACATAATCTCATAATACCATTTTACATTTGAACAGACATTGTATTCAGTTTTAGCCCAGGTGCAATGACAATGAGTAGAATATACATCATATACATTACAGTTTAACTTGGATAAAATGAAAATGTATCGGTATGTGCATTGAGGGTACTAGATAGTGACCAGTAATGCTGTTTACACAATGGTAGACCTATGTACATGCCTGCAAAATCTGTTAGCAGAAGAGACAATGCATTGTAAAAGATAAATGGGAAGATACTATGAAAGTACTATCACAATAATACTGTGTTGTTCTGCATTCATTGAAAAAAAATGAAATCAGTTAACAGTCATTACACATGTCGTTTTGAAATATTAAATCCAACACAACTCTGTTGGTATTTTAGCATCATGATGAAAAAAAATGAAAAAACCACAAGACGTCAGCATGTATCGAAAGAGCTAATTATCACTACAACAATGCAGGGTTAGGTAAGCACTCAGATTGTAGGGTAGGAGGGGCACAGCCAGGACTGACCCTCATGGACAGATCATTTGTCCATGTCAATCACTGAGGACAGGAACACAGTCCTCTGTCCAAGAGTTTATCCTCATAAATGTCCAGTGTAGCCTACAGAGGCTTCTACATAGAATGCTGGAATGGAGTAAATGGAATGGTGTCAAAAACATGGTTTTCATGTGATTGATACCATTCTATCTATCTATTATACTCCATTCCAGTCATTATTATGAGCCGTCCTCCTCTCAGCAGCCTCAACTGATTCAGGAGATCTTAGTCTGACTTGATAGCTATCTTGATAACGGCTGGTTAGTTTGGCAGGTTTGAGCTACACTGAAGTGGAGTGGGAGTGGCATGTGGCATGCATGCTTTGTCAAGCAGAGCTCTCAGTTAACGACACTGAGTACTGGTTGATTTTCTTTTGGACAAGGAGCTGCGCAGAACACACACACACACACACACACACACACACACAGGGTTGGGCACACAATGACTGGAGGTGTCACTGACGAGAGCTTGTCCAGATTAGTCACAGTTCTGTAGAATGGCTCCATCCTAATGTGCTTGTTGGAAGTCCTTCTTACTGTGGGGTCGGTTTCCCAAGACGTGGTCAATCTCTGTGGCAATGCCTGCAGTCATCTTTGGAATGACCTAGAATACATGAAGAGGAGAAACAATACCATTGATTCAGTTAGTTGTTATGTTGGTAGTAGTAGTTAGTAACTACACTGCAATAGGCATCCAAACTAGTAAATAAACAATGTAGGCCTAGACTAGAGAAGGCGAGCAGTTTGAGTGCTGAAAAATAGATGTCAGTATCCCAAATCGACCCCTAAACCCTGCACCCTTAGCCTCGCCAGCCAACCTGATCTATCGATGATAGCGAGATCGGGGTGGCTCGCCAGGCTACTACATCCTATGCACTTGTGGAGATCTAAGATGATTTGATTTGGTATAAGACATATGGTTAAACTTCCACCTAGCCTATCAGCGGTGCTGTTACTGTATTCCTTACACCTGTTAAATCCTCTCAGATCTCCACAAGTACATAGGGCATAGGCACAGGAGGCTGCTGAGGGGAGGACGGCTCATAATAATGTCTGGAACGGCATCAATGGAATGGCATCAAACACCTGGAAACCATGTATTTTATGTTTTTGTTACCATTCCACTAATGCCGCTCCAGTTATTACCATGAGCCCATTCTCCCCAATTAAGGTGCCACCAACCTCCTGTGGGCATAGGGTCTAGGGGTCGATTTGGCATTGGGCCTAAAACAGCTTAAAATGTATTCTTCAACGGAGTTCTTCCCCTAATGAAGACAGTAAAGTATATAAGAGATGCTCCTTGCCTCCATGGCCCTCAGGTTCTCTGCAAGCTGGATGGGGTTGGATGTTCCCAGCAGCACTGAGCTCACTCCTTCATTCCTCAGACACCAGGCTGCAGAGAGAGAGAAGGGGAGGTAACAGGGTTGAGTTCATTAGGACATGCAACAGAAAACATTTTGTAACGGAAAAAAAAAATGTACGTCTGAGTCTGAGATTTCATGTTAGATTTCGTGAAAACCATCAACTTTATCTTTTCAGCATTTGTGTTACTGATATCTTACCGATGGCTAATTGTGGCAGAGTGCAGCCCAGCTTCTCAGAGATGATAGTGAGCTCCTTCAGCTTGGCCTGCTGTTTCCTCCCGTCTTCACTCACTATCTTATCCTTCAACCAGGCGTACTGCTGGAAGAGAAGGAGAAGAACAGTCTTAGACCTGAGGACCAAGCTGACATTCCCCTCAGATGTCGTTGGGACAAGCGGATATGAGCAGTACCTTCATGGAGGCCCTGGAGCATTCTGGGATACCATTCTCATACTTCCCAGTGATGATTCCACAGGCTAGAGGCGACCAGGAGACCACACCCACACCTGCAATGGCACATGGGAGTTAGGTCACATGACAGGCAGGGTAATCATCAGATGATCATGGTACTGAAGGACAAAAGTACTGGTATCTAGAGTTGACCTTTTGTGGTAAGGAATATTGACTCAGCTCCACTTTAGACCACTTTTGACAAACTTTGAATTTTGGGGTGAACTACTACCAGTTTGATCCTGGTCGTGCATTTCAAGGGCGTTATAGGACATTTGAATGCAGTCCCAAAGTTTGACAAATCTAAAATCTAGTGAGTTTGTGAGAAGGTGTTGCTATTACACGTGCCTATCTTATGGTAGAGCTCAGGTAGCTGTGTCTCCACCTTGTCCCTCTGGAAGAAGTGGTACTCAGCCTGCTCACACACTGGAGGGATCAGGTTAAACTGCCGCGCAACCGAGTATGCTTCCTGAAAGAATGAGAAAGAGAGAGGAGAAGGGAAGAGGGGAGGGGAGGGGAGGGGAGGAGGAGGTGGGGGGGTTAAGGAACCAAGGTGAGAACCATGCTGACTCTGTTCACCTTTTCAAACTTCTCTTGTTAATATCAGACCAAACTTCCATATCTTCAAAATATTGATATTACAAGACAGCACCTGAACCTTTCAGACTTCATTCACCTTTTCAACCCCTATAATGTTTGTTTACTCTCTAATGTCAGACTTCAAAAGCATTTATATCCCAAGCATGCTACAGTGCTACAGTGAATCATGTGGACAGATCGTGCAGGTCTACTTACTGCTGAAGAGAATATGAAGTTGACATATTGTGAAGTTGTGAGAAATTCTGCCTACTTACCATAATCTCCATGGCAGACCATCGTGATGTCCCCCAGTACATGGACATGCCATTGTTGATCAAATGGGTCATCGCCCTCACAATCTCTGCAGCGACAAAAACATCAAAAACTTGCTAGTTACAGGAGGGCTACGGGAGGGCTACAAGTCAGTCTTTTTGGACAGAGGGGGTGTAGGTGTAGGTTGGTGTTTGCCCGTTCTGCGCGAAGGGAGTTGGGAGAGTTTAGCAAAATAAGGGGAAATAATGAAGAAGATACTCTAACTTGTAGGAGTAGGTCTGAGACATTAGAGGGCGCCTCAGCTCCTTCTTCTACAACCTCAGAAAGATCACTTCTCATTAGCTGGAATCCTTAATTGGTGAAACTGCCACATCAGTTTGGGATATTAGAACAACAAAGAAGTTACCGCCATGGGCGGTGTGTTCAATAGGGCGATATGGGCGACGCACTGCCAAACGGGAAAAGGAAGGGATTTTTTTTCTAATCAATTATATCATGGCAACAGTAGTTCAGTGTTCACGTCTGATCTGCCAGCCACTAAATGTCCAATCAGGCTAAAGTCGTGCTTCAAATGTCCCCGCCCGTTTTGGGGCGATTTCAGTCAGGTTGAAAATCGCCCAGAAGTCTCTCATAGCCTCTAATGTAAAATATTGTTTTTTCAAATTTCTGAGCTTTCAATACATTCTCTATGGGTGTCTGAGGGCTTGCACTTACGCGCTTTCGTCATACGTAACGTAACGTAACCATGAACGGCAGACAGCAACGCTTGGACAGCGACTGGTGTAACCGACATGCACCATCTTTCAGAAAAGATTAAGAAAAATGAGCTGTCAAAGACCCACATTGATAGCTGTTTGAGATTGTCTGCTTTGGTGAGAGTGAATATTGCCACTCAACTGGATGAGGGATACAGGCTAGCTGTCCGCCGCCACAACGATGAGGTTAGCAACAGCAGAGTCGTGAACACTGTCTACGAGAATCGAGACGACCTCATAGAATGTTTTGAAGCCATCCGGACGGGTTCATTGGGTTCATTTGACCAGCCCACCGTACCAGAAGCTACAGAATAAGGACATCGATGCTGTCTTTATCAAACGTGCCCTCGACAGCTTCGCAAGCAGTGTGCAGGCCATAAGGTAAGATAAAGATTAAACAATATCATTCGATCTTTCTCAAAGCAGAGCTTTATTTGAAAATGTATGCATGAAAGGAGACTGCATTTGTGTTTGAAATTACATTATTGTCATTATATATGGCCAGTGGTGTAATCTATCTTATTTTATATACTATGTGTACTGTACAGTGGTGCTCATAAGTGTATGAACACATTCTAAAGCTGACTAAAAAGAGGAATAAAAAAATAAAAAAATCATCTTTTGGAAATTGATCTTAATGACTTAATTAAAAAAGTTGGAAAATCCAACCTTTAAGGACACCAATTTTCTTTTCTTTTTTATTCCTCTTTTTAGTCAACTTTAGCATGGGATCATAAGCTTATGAGCACCACTGTATACTGTGCTGAACATCCAGGCTATGTGAGACACAAAGGCTAACTTAAACACTAAAGACTTTATGCATCCCTGCCCATTTTAAGTGGAACTGAAGTATTTGTACTATACATGGATACATTGCATATACCTGTGCATCACATAGACAACAATACTGTACAAAGCCAACAAACACATTGGTCTGTTTGCCTTCAGGGACTCCTCTCAACAGCAGCTGCAAGAAGCAACAGGAGCCAAAAGACCCAGAACAGCTTTGAGAGAAGAGGAGAAGCAGAGGCTGTCTGAAGAGGTCTGCAACACCATCCTGGATCACACCAAAGAAAGGTTCTCTTTCTCTGGCCACCTTGTGAGTGCTACCTTACTGCAAGCAGACATGTTTGAAAGGTACTGCCATTCAAAAAAATAAAAAATCTGTTCATGTTCATTTTTACAAATCTATACAATTGGCCAGAATATGGTTGTTCATATTTACAAATCTATACAATTGGCCAGAATATGGTTGTTCATTTTTACAAAGCCATACATATTGTTTATGCAGTGTTGAGGAATGTGAAAGAACACCCTTGATTATTTTTACTGTGATAACTTATTTTGCTTTTGTAAGCCAACACTTTTGAGATCAGTCAATAAATGCTTCTGGTATTGACTTATATGCTGCCCCTGTCTTCATGTTGTTGCTGGACATATCTTTTTAAAAATGTGTGTAGGTCACCTAAATCATCAGAAAAATTGCCCCTCCTGAGAATTTTTTCAGGAGCCGCCACTGGTTACCGCAAATAACAAACCCATTCCCCCCCCCCACCGGACATCATTAAACGCTCGATAGAACACGCTGCCGGATGCTCCTCTCCTCCGTTTTATCAACAAAACAAAAACGATAACCAAGGCCCTGGGGTGAATAGTGACGCCGTTTCCCCAAAGGCCTATTAGATCTTTAAAGGGTAAATATTGACTTTAGTCATCTTATATCTTTGTCACAGACATTCCGAATGAAGGGACCTGAGGATTTTTCAATTCCATTTCAATTCCATCTGTATTGCCTCCGCTACCACAGCAGAGAGCACATCAGTTCATCCATTCAATTCAGTCTCATTGAATAATAATCGCAACACAACCGCTCAACAAAAGGCTTGAATCAGAAGCCATTTGAAAGCAAGCCTGCTGCTAAAGGGGCGAGTTAAAAAAACAATACAAACAAAAGGAAACCGGTGAAAGGAATCGGACCATTGAGCAAGAAGCCCAGAACATATTCTCCATCCTCCTATGGCCAGTGCAGGGGAAGATTTCATATGAGATATTGTTTACTGAGGTAATATGAATCCAAACGCTAAATGCCGCAGTGCCAGACTGAAATACCCATCAGCTGAGAGAGAGGGGAGAGAGAGGGAGAGAGGGATGAGAGAGAGAGAGAGGAGATAGATAGAGAGATAGAGCTCCTTGTCCTCTTTCTCTTTCTCTCTCTCTTCTCTTCTCCTCTCTCTCTTCTCTCTCTCTCTCTCTCTCCTCTCTCTCTCTCTCTCTCTCTCTCTCTCTCCTCTCTCTCTCTCTCTCCTCTCTCTCTCTCGCTATCCTCTCTCTCTCTCTCTCTCTCTCCTCTCTCTCTCTTCTCTCTCTCCTCTCTCTCTCTCTCTTTCTTGCTCTTTCTTTGCTCAGTGTCGTAGAGGTGCAGTTTGCTTGTAGTCTAAGCTACAAGTAGTAACAGTTGATGGAGAAGAAGTCATCCGTAGTGGACCTTTGTCAGTTCTGTTTGTGCCTGAGGGTATAGAGGGTTACTGCAGGGTCATGGTGGTGTGGATACACACAAGAAGCAGATATTTATTAAGGGGATTAGAGTAGGTAATGCAAGGATACAAGGCGTCTAACTAACCAAGAGAGACCGGAATCTCTGGAACATGTGATTCAATTCCATATACTTTAAATGTCCAGCAAGGGGCAATTATGCTTGGCAAGCAGTGCAATTTGGTAGCTTAACAAAAAAACGTACATCTCTGAACAAAACAAGAACACATTGGCACGATGATAACACAGTACAACCCAGCAGGCCTATATTAAAGAAAAGGAAATCTAACACAGAGAGCTTGGACGATAAAATTATACCCTCATAGACCTGTAGTCTAATCAAGAAATCCAATTGCAACAGGATGTGTTGGGTCAGGATGCATTTCTCCCTAAATAACTACAATCATGCTGAAGGATAAAATGTAAAACAGGGAGAGAATTAAGTTGAAAGAGAGATCAACCTAGATCAGAGTGTGATTAAAAAAATAGTGATTCCCTTTCATGAGCAGCTCATTCTGCGAGCCTACATACAGCGGAGAGAGACAGAGTGTGTGGGTGAAACAGGTGGGAGGTGGAGAGGAGAAAATGTCAGGCATGAACAACAATACATCTGTTCTGAGAGGGAAAGAGAGAGAGAGTGGGAGGAAAAGAGTGAACGATAGAAAGACTGAAAGAGATGGAGAGATTGCTGGGAGCGTGGGTTGGTCATCAAATTCTATGAATTCTTAACCAATGGTTCACCTGAGCTTCTAAGGTAACGGTAGATGATCAATGCCAACCTATACCCATAGCAACAGTGTAACCTGATGTACACTTCATATGCTCTCTCCCACAACAGTGCCCTCTTCAGTGGCCTGCCCTCAGGCTCAAAAGTTCCAGCAAGTCATTACTTTCCAACCCCAGGCCTGGCTGGGGTATATCTCATGTCAAAGGGTTGCTTGCTGTGTACACTGTGGGCAGAGGGCATACAAATATTGGTGTTTAGCAAAAAAAAAGAAGGTCGAGTGGGTTTGAGGTGTGTGTGTGTATTTAATTTGTTTGTTTGTCTCTGTGTGTGTATCTGTGTGTGTCTGTGTGTGTTTGAGCATGTGTGTGCGTCTGTTTGTGTGTATGTGTGTTTGCCTGTCTGTGTGTGTTTGCTTGTTTGCTGTCTAACACCCCACTGATAAACACTGTGCTGTGTTTAAGCCTTATCATTCCACGCAGGTGTTTGGGAACAGAGTGTGAGACAGCCTGTCCTTGAGATTCCTACTGCAGTAAGCCATCACAATAAATCTTGGGTGAGACAGGGACTGAGGCATCCCTCTATCCTGCCTGGCTGCTTCTGTGGCTTATAAGATGACAAACCAAGGACAGACACTCACCTCACTCCACGCACCTGTGGGCACATTACTCTCTCTTTCTTTCTCCTTTAATCCACCCTCTGCCCTTCTCTACCTCTCTCCTTTTATCTGTTTCCCTCCCCTCCTCTCTCTCAATTCAATTTCAATTCAATTTCAATTTAAGGGCTTTATTGGCATGGGAAACGTGTGTTAACATTGCCAAAGCAAGTGAAGTAGATAGTAAACAAAAGTGAAATAAACAATAAATATTAACAGTAAACATTACACTCAGAAGTTTCAAAAGAATAAAGACATTTCAAATGTCATATTATGTATATATACAGTGTTGTAACAATGTGCAAATAGTTAAAGTACAAATGGGAAAATAAATAAACATAAATATGGGTTGTATTTACAATGGTGTTTGTTCTCCACTGGTTGCCCTTTTCTTGTGGCAACAGGTCACAAATCTTGCAGCT